TTGAGTTATATGGCGTCCGCATAGCTGTATCATTAACAGAGTTCTGGAGACGTCTGGATAGCTGTATCACTACACAGAGTTCTATAGCGCACTTACAGCTGTATCACTCTATACAGGTGTATTACTAAATAGTTTTGAACGTGTACGGAATTCCGACTTCCGGTATCCACTACCAGACATACAGCCACAACATTCGGCATATGGGTCTGACTAACATTGTTACATCTATTTTAAATTTAGACATACAACTTGGCGTCTATGGGATACGTTTAACATCAGACATAAAACACCAACACTTACACAACTTGAAGGATACACAATTCCAACAACCTTCAACAACAGACACACAACACCAACATCACGTACACAATTTCAAAGACACACCACCACCACCAACACTAATTAAATAACTTTAACAACAGACATACTTCTAGACCGAATAAAAAAGAAATCCTGTATTTCGTCAATTAGCAGTCATGTGATATATTTCTGATTGCAGTTCATAAGGTAAAACATGATCCATAGTTTCCTTGGTTTACGGGGTTTTTTTTTTATATTTTGTTTATTTTATTTTATTATTTTGTATATGCGATGTATCTGTCATGTCAAACGCAAATAAGTAGAAGGCCAAAAAAAAAACAACTTTGGTGTAAATTTCATGGATTAGAAAATTGAAAATAATAAATGTATCGTTTGTAGTACACAGACAAACTTTGAGAGGAAAGTTTGAAATTGTGCTCATTAGAAAATTGAAAACATCTATGACAATTTTATTGTTGTAATTCAAAGATTCATCTTCAAAAATAAGGCTTAAGTTTGTATTTAATTTGTTACAAACATTATGGCCATAGTTAGAGTAATATTGGCCATCATATTATCTTATGATTTCGGTAAATAGTTTCCAATCTTATGTAACATACATACGAACCTCTCTATTAGAAATGTAGAGCATTCAAAGTCAATAACAAATTAGGATCTCATCTTCTGAGGAATCGATTCTGTTTGAAAGGCGTCACATTGAGGAGTGGTGGGGTGGTGGGAAGGGATGGCCGGGCGGGGAATGGTTGGGTGGGGGTAGAGTATCGATTCCCTGAGTGTATCCGAGAGCTGGAAGTGGTTTTTGAAGTAAAATAAAACTTTCGCTGTTTTAGTGTTTAAATTATTTTATTTTCATTTTTGGGGGGTTTATTTTATTTATATAGGCCTACTAAACATCGTTTAGTTCATTCATTTGAATGTGTTTGTTCTTCTTTTATTGGAAGTGTGTGGTGGGAAAAAGGGGGAAGATTGTTGTTCTTTTTTTTAATATATTGAAGTAGTTTTTAACATTCTTTAATTTGATTTTGTTAATTTCTTTAGCTTACTGTTTTAAAATTACCTGTATCTAATCGACCACGTATAGGTTCTTCCGTTTTCTTGAATTAGTTCTAGAGAAAAATCGAATAGAACTTCGTACATCGTTAGCATCGATCTTAAAATATTTTCACAGTTTTGATAAATATTTGATTATTACCTCCCCCGCCCCCGTTGTTGTTCCATTTTCTCAAGCAACCATTTGCTAATTATAGAACACGCACTTTTAAAATGTAAATCTGTTAATGGGTGTGAGAAATTTCAAATGTTTTTCTTGTAGTTTAGTGTGGGTGTGAGTGTATACGTGGGTGGGTAGTGTGGTTTTGTGTGAGTGTGTATGTGTGTGGTTAGTTTAATGTCGGTGTAAGTATATGTGGGTGGGTATGTGGGTGGAGCTTTCTATTTTATAAATAAAGATATTTATTTTTAGATATGAACGTTTAATCGACCCTACCTTTCCGAGGAGTTGAAAACACTTGGAATTAATGGCAATTAATTTCCGCCACTAATTGCTAATTTTAATGAGAGTAGGTATGTCAGAAGTTCATAAAAACATGTTTATTTTTTTCTGTTTTAAATGTGTTTTTTTTTACTTTGAAGAAATCGCCTGATTTCATAACTAAACGACCTTTGAACCCGGACATCCGGGCAGACGTTACAACTTCAGACGACACAGCATCTCGGTACTTCCGGTCCGTGACGTCTGCTGATTTTTACTAAATCTCGTCTGCTCTGGGAGCGGCCATCTTGAGGCCTTGTTAGTGACGTGTTGCACGACATCAACCAGTCCATTCAGATGATACAGTCGTTATGGGGGTTGGGTGGGGGTGGGGGGTGGGGGGGTGGAGGTGGGGTGGAGGGTGAGGGCGGGAAGTGTCAAATTTTATGTATCTTCAGGACTACAAGACAAAATGCTGAACAACTCTCTTTAGATGGTCATTGACGATGTATGTGTGTGTGTGCGTGCGTGTGTGTATGTAAGTGTGTGTGTGTATGTGTATGTGTGTGTGTATGTGTATGTGTGTGTGCAAGTGTGTGTGTGTAATTTAAATTAATTAATAAAGAACTTCTTTACACTTGTATGAAGAACGTATTTCCCAGAATTGACAAACTATTTTGGCGAGTTTAACAGTGTATGTTGGAATTGCAGTTTGTAGTTCTGTGTGTTAATGCAGAGTGCTTTATTTATTCAATCATACTTTGTACAGGTGGATCGGTGTATATGGGGGGAGGGGGGGTCTTTACAACCTATTCACAAACACGTTACCTCAAGTTATTTTGTATCACGATAAACCCCTTGCCTCTCACTATAACAGTTATTTATACATCTTTATTTCTGTCAACTTTTCCTCACGAAAATAGAACATATCACACTAACATTACACATTTAATAGATGTATAGCAAAGAAATGAAAATTTTGACTTCTATGTTGTTTTCGTGTTCTTTAGATAAACTTTAAATCACAGATAATTAAAGTTAATGAGGATATTTTTTTTAATAAATACTTCAAATAAGGACTCCCTCCCCTTGTAGTCCCCCCCTACACACACACCCAACTCCACCCACACCGGTCTGCGGAAAGGATTATCTGGATGTCAATAACTGAGAGGCCAATTAATCAATGGCTAATTAGTTATTGCAGCTATCTGTAGGATGAGTTTTAATTGTGAGGATTATGTGAAGTTTGCAGTTTTTATTTTAATTAGACTGTAAACAGAAATCTCTAATTACGACATAAATCTGAGATCTATAATTACGACAGAAATCTAAATTATCAAAATATTAAACAATTGTTAATGTCAAATTACAAGAAATCTAAAATTTCCGATTGTGGCAAAAATCTTTAAACTCTAATTGCGAAAAAACCTAAAATCTCTAAGACTAATCTAAAATCTTGAAATGATATAGAAATCTGAATAAGCAAAAGGACAAAAGCCATGAGAATAAAAACATAAACAAAAATTCAGATTTCATCCGCTTCCTGTTTTTTCACTGCCACTGCGCATGCATAGCCCTCGATAACCAATCACGTCCGACGAAAGTCGAACACGATAAATCACGACCAAGTACCATCGGGACAGACCCAGGGCTGCTGAAATGTCCACTTCCATCACGTCGGCTCGTGAAATGTCCATTTTCATCACGCGGTTGTGGGCTCTGGCCGCGACCTTTCAGACAAGGTCACATTAGGCAACGGTCCCTGGTCGAGCGGGCGGACATCTTGCGGCGATCAATTTATTTTTTCAGCCATTTTGTTTTTTACTCGCTCTAAGCGACGAACGCTGGAATTGATTGCTAATGACAGTACTACTAGATGGTGTCTTTTGATGCCTGATTAGTGTATATTGTTGAATGATACAAACATACTAACAAAATGGGTTAAAATATCTATTTTATTCTTAAGATGTAGCTGTATGTTGGTGAAAATTGGGTCGTAGGGATAAGCTTTCCCCGACGGACAGTACCAGAGTATAAATATCACCTAAAGGAGACCCAGGATAGTTTAACCCCTCCCTTCCCCCCCCCCCCCCCCCCCCACACACACACGCACAACCACCACTGCAAACTTAATTTGCAATTCGTTAAACAACATGTTTTGAAAGAAAAAAAAAGTTCGGTTTGTAAAGAAGTTTAACTCCAGTTCATGTGAATCAAATAGACTGTGTTCTGGTTATCACTTAACGAGTGTCGTAAAATGTCAGATTTTTAAAAAAAACCCGGACATGTGCGAGAGGCCGAATCTAATTACGGAAGTTGCGAGCTACATAAGCGTGTCATTAGGAGACTGGACAGCACGCGGGCTGGCCGGAGATCAGAACAAAAGCCGGCATAGATATCTGGACATTGATTTGCTCTTCACACCATTATTAACATCGTTATGGGGCTAAAAATAGAATAATTCAGGGCCGGTCTTGTCCACGTAATTGTTGTCGTGTTATCCTGTTGGCTGATATAGAGTTCACACATATGGCGGAATTATAATACGATTATATATGATATATATTATATGTGCTTATATATATATATATATATATATATATATATATATATATATATATATATATATATATATATATATATATATATATATATATATATATATGCATATGTGTGTGTCTGTCTATGTGTGTGTGTTAGAATAGGCAAAGCTACTGAAACGAAATTCTCGAATACTCGCTGGGTCTGCTATGTAACACTTTCATTTGACACTGTTTGTGACAGTATAAATTTGACACTGTGACACTACCCTTTGACACTGTTTGATACTCTATCATTCGACAATGTTTGTGATATAATCATTTGAAACTTTTGACACTATCGTTTGACAATGTAACACTGCCATGTGACACTACCATTTGACACTGTAACACTACTGTTTGACACTATCACGTGACACTAGTTCTTACAGTTATATATATTTCATTCCCTCACAGGTGACGCCATTACAGCGATGGCTTCTCCTCGTCTGATTGGTCAGTTCAAAAAGGCCTTGAACACAAGGTGAATCTCAAGGTCTCGACTTACGTCACCGATTCATCAAACACCACTACAAACAATGGCGTCTGCTGGCTGCATCGATCTCCATTGAAACAGCTCAGAAATCTGGAATTCTTGAAAACTTTGATGGTGTTTTTTTTTCAATCATGCGCTGAATGAAAGCCCAACACACATCTTACAACTTGGGTATCCGGTCACGGTGACGTCAGGTGGACACACGCAGACGACACAATGTCCAGACAGGCAGACAAGAAGGGACGCTACTCTCTAACCATGGAGAGCGCGTCCAACTCCATCGCCATGAAACAACTTCCGGTTCCCGCCAAGATGACCTCCGAAGCAGACGAATGCGCACATCCGATTGTTTCCGGGACCGGCGCGGTGGCCACGTGTTTCTTTCTGATTGGTCTGTTGATGTTCCTGGTGGCCTTTGCCTCCCACGATTGGCTGGGGCTGGAGAAGGGTATCACGATTAGCCTGTGGCGGAAGTGTACCCGCCATTTTGATGTGGACGTGTGGAGTTGTCAGCCTTGGGACAGAACACCAGGTAGGTGGGGTGGGGGTGGAGGGGGAGGGTGGGGGGACTAGATAGAAATCATAAACAGGAAAATTGACGGTGTAGCGAAATGCCATCTATATGGACATGCTTCGGTTGCTCTAATAAAGATCCTAATTCAACAACAAATTCCTAACACACTAAAACAAGAAATAAATGGTTCTGAGTCTATTGTATGTGTATGTTGTATGTGTGTGAGTATGTGTGTGTGAGTGAGTGTGTGTGTGTTTTTGTGTGTGTGTGCTAATTCTGGCTTGATTTCCGTTGTAAGATATTTGACTTAAATACGCTTGATTTCAGCCAATCAGCTCCGTTTAAAATTTTGTCACCTACTTTTTAAGTCATGCCCTACATTCTCATTCATGCCCTACATTCTCATTTATGCCCTACATTCTCATTCACGCAATACATTTTCATTCATGCCCTACATTCTCATTCATGCCCTACATTCTCATTTATGCCCTACATTCTCATTCACGCAATACATTCTCATTCATGCCCTACATTCTCATTCATGCCCTATATTCTCATTCATGCCCTACATTCTCATTCATGCCCTACATTCTTATTCATGTCCTACATTCTCATTCATGCCCTACATTCTCATTCATGCCCTACATTCTCATTCATGCCCTACATTCTCATGCATACCCTACACAGCCTTTTCGATAAAACTTGTTAGATGAGTTTTTTCCCCTTGTGGCCATACTTTTTTACCTCCCTTCCCACCAAACTTCTCTCCTCTCTTCACTTACAACTCCCCCCCCCCCCAATATCTGACGTCATTTCCTGCGCCGTGTCTAATAGAGTCCAGAAACACGATTACACTTCTTCTCAAGAATCTTGATAACCCAGTAACATAGCTTCAAGTAGGTGGGAGCCGGTGAAGGACGAATTTTTTTTCACCTGTGACTATTTTACTTTTTATAACTTCAACCTGAAGTCACTGAGACCAGTCAACCTAAAGTCACTGAGACCAGTCACCCTGACTAAATTTTAGACGCCACTGTCAGGAATTTCAATCAAACTGTCATTTCGTCGGCTTTAACTCCACCAGACACTTCTGTTAGATCAAGTTACTGAGGTGCGGCGTGCAAATTATTTTCTAAATTGCTTTTTTTTTTTTTTAACTAGATTGTTAAACAATTTTAGAAACGGACTTTAAACTATTTTGAAATACTATTCTAAGCTTAAAAAATGAACTTTAGAGGTTTTATTTAGTCGTGAAAAAAAGCTACAAATAAATCATGGATGTTACATTAAAATTTCACGAAGTCAGGTGCTTTTTTTTAACATCAGAGTTTAATTTTCTACGCCATTTTATCCCATATTTTTCTAACATATACATTTTTTCTATACCTTTCTAGCCTTTTCTATCCCATATCTCTTATAACAGATTCATTTTTCTATCCCATCCTATCTTAATTTTCTCAAACATAAATTTGTTGAACGCATCCTATCCCGTATTTCTCAAACAAAATGTGTTAAACTATCCTATATATCTCCAACATAAGTAAATGCGTTTGAACCCAACCTATCCTATATTTCCCTAACACAAATGTGTTTATCCCATCCTATCCCGTATTTCTCAAACAAAATGTGTTTATCTCATCCTATCCCATATTTCCCTAACACAATTGTGTTTATCCCATCCTATCCCATATTTCTCAAACAAAATGTGTTTATCCCATCCTATCCCATACTTCTCAAACAAAATGTGATTATTCCATCTTATCCCATATTTCTCAAACAAAATGTGTTTATCCCATCCTATCCCATACTTCTCAAACAAAATGTGATTATTCCATCTTATCCCATATTTCTCAAACAAAATGTGTTTATCCCATCCTATCCCATACTTCTCAAACAAAATGTGATTATTCCATCTTATCCCATATTTCTCAAACAAAATGTGTTTAACCCATCCTATCCCATATTTCCCTAACACAATTGCGTTTATCCCATCCTATCCTATATTTCCCTAACACAATTGTATTAATCCCATCCTATCCCATATTTCCCTAACACAACTGTATTTATCCCATCCTATCCCATATTTCCCTAACACAACTGTATTTATCCCATCCTATCCCAAATCCTCCAACAGATTTTGTCCGCGCTGCCCAGGGCTTCTGTATCGTGGGGTTAATGACCTACTCCCTCTCTGTGGTCATCCTCATCGCCTACCTCACCGTCCAGCTGCTGCAGAAGATCCGGGGAGTCTTGATTGCTCTTTGTTTGTTGATCTTTACCTCAGGTAGGTCAAAGGTTAACCTTTACGTCAGGTAGGTCAAAGGTTAATCTTTACGTCAGGTAGGTCAAAGGTTAATCTTTACGTCAGGTAGGTCAAAGGTTGATCTTTACGTCAGGTAGGTCAAAGGTTAATCTTTACGTCAGGTAGGTCAAAGGTTAATCTTTACCTCAGGAAGGTCAAAGGTTGATCTTTACCTCAGGTAGGTCAAAAGTTTATCTTGTTTGTTTATTTTTATGTCAGGTAGGTGAAAAGTTGATCTTGTTTGTTGATCTTTACGTCAGGTAGGTCAAAGGTTAATCTTTACGTCAGGTAGGTCAAAGGTTAATCTTTACGTCAGGTAGGTCAAAGGTTGATCGTGATTGTTGATCTTTACTTCAGGTAGGTCAAATGTTGATCTTTACGTCAGGTAGGTCAAAGGTTAATCTTTACGTCAGGTAGGTCAAAGGTTGATCGTGATTGTTGATCTTTACTTCAGGTAGGTCAAATGTTGATCTTTACGTCAGGTAGGTCAAAGGTTGATCTTTACGTCAGGTAGGTCAAAGGTTGATCGTGATTGTTGATCTTTACTTCAGGTAGGTCAAATGTTGATCTTTACGTCAGGTAGGTCAAAGGTTAATCTTTACGTCAGGTAGGTCAAAGGTTGATCGTGATTGTTGATCTTTACTTCAGGTAGGTCAAATGTTGATCTTTACTTCAGGTAGGTCAAATGTTGATCTTTACGTCAGGTAGGTCAAAGGTTGATCTTTACGTCAGGTAGGTCAAAGGTTGATCGTGATTGTTGATCTTTACCTCGGGTAAGGCAAAAGTTGATCTTTATTTTCAATTTTCTTATGTCAATTTACAACTCCAAATGATCCCCTCTTGTTATAATAAAATTTCCACTTATTTTATTTTTTCTAAATTTCACTTTCTTTTCTCAACTCCAGGCTGCATGACCTTGATGGCCTTGGTGGTGATGGGGATCAAAGGACACGACTACCTGAAGACGCTGAAGCAAGATGACCGCGAGGTCGTGAGGTTCCTGGCCATGGGCGTGGACGCTCTGGGCGTCTTCTACGTCGGCTGGTCCTTCGTCGTCTCCGTCATCTCCGCTTTCATCACCCTGGCCAGCTTCATGTTCTGCATGATTGAGTTCGTCCACATCAATGACGTCATTGACTAAATGAAAAAGAAGGAATTTTAAACATTGTACGGACATAATTCAATGGGTGCAGTGAGCGTTTTGATACAATTTAAATGCTTGTGTGATGTGGGGAAATGTTACTGGTATTGAGATCTGTTGCTATTGGACAGCGTGGTTGAATGGTAGAGTGTTCGGCTGCTAGCCTGATGGTCTCCAGTTCGGATCTCGGTTTGGACTTGTGACTGAAGGACGTCCCTGATTCCACCCATCTCTTTTGGTTACCTGACTTACATAACAGAAAGTAAGGACGACTAGACAAAGTGCTGACCTCACCATCACTTCATGTGCTCAGTGCTGAAGTCAAGTTACATATGAACTCTACTTCATCTGCCCAAAAGATCGTTTGGTCTAAGTAGACCATTATTAACATGTATTGTTAGTCTAACGGTTGAGAAATACGACAAACGCGACTTAGTTTACCGGTGTTTTCAAATCTTCTATGTTAAAATATAGTAATCTGAGCTGGGTGCGTGGAAAAGTTGTTAAATTGTTGAGTAAAAGTGTTGATAGATGTAAACATTGGAGTGAAATTGTTGAATAAAACTAGATCTAAGACTAGATTGAAATTGTAGAATGAAATTAATTATGAACCATTTCAAGCTATTATTGACACGTATATTACAATTGTATTGCTTTTATTTTGTTGTTGTTTATTATTAATTGCTGACTAATTTGATACCATTAGTATGTCGTTGGAGCATGTCGTGGTGAATATGAGGCAAATTACAGCATGCATGACGAATGTATGGCGAATGACAGAATGTATGACAACAGCATGTAATGTGAATGACAACATGTATGCTGGAGGGCAGCATGCATGAAGAGTGGCATCATGTATAATGGTTCTCATTGTTTTGTATAAAAATAACGGCGTGTATGAAGAGTGACAAAACGTTAATTTAAACTATTCTCAGATGTGAATATTGAAAATAGTTGTGATATTAATATGTGTAATGTTGCATACTGTCTGTGTGACGTAGACTGCCGTGATAATGTAGACTGTATATTGTAGACTGTATAACGTGGACCATATATCGTAGACAATACAACGTAGACTGTAGCCTATAACGTAGACTGTATAACGTAGACTGTATAACGTAGACTGTATAACGTAGACTGTATATCGTAGACTGTATAACGTAGAGTGTATAACGAAGACTGTATAACGTAAACAGCATAACTTAGACCGTATAACGTAGACTGTATAACTTAGGCAGCATAACATAGACTGTATAACGTAGACTGTATAACTTAGACAGCATAACGTAGACTATATAACGTAGATTGTATAACTTAGACAGCATAACGTAGACTGTATAACGTAGACTGTATAACGTAGACTGTATAACTTAGACAGCATAACGTAGACCGTATAACGTAGACTATAACTTAGACAGCATAACGTAGACTGTATAACGTAGACTTCTATTTAGGCGTAGATTGTCTGTATAACACAGACTATCTTACATAGAACTATGATACAAGCTGTACGACGTAGACAATGATTTTGTCTGTCTATAAAACGTCGACCAAAACTTTGTCTGTCTTTATGACGTAGACCAAGACTTTGTATAACGTGAACTTTGACTTGTCTATCTGTATAACGTTGACCAATACTTTATCTGTATGAATGACGTAGCCAAAGACTTTGTATGACGTAGACCAAGACTTAGTATAACGTGAACTTTGACTTATCTGTCTGTACAACCTCGACTGCCTATTGCCGAGACTAAATCAACGGTGCCTACAGTCTCAACAACACACAACACCTGGTCTACAATCATTGCGGTCTATTTTTAATTATTTTAATTAATTAAAATTTAATTGATCCAACACTTAATGTTTATTAATTCTATTCGTAAAATAAAAAATAATATAATTACAATGCGTTGTTTTTTTTTTAATTAAAAAAGGCGTGCATTTATAAAAAGATATATAGATATACTATCCGTATCACTAGCTGGATATAGCTTAAATGGTGGATGTGACACAGCTATAGTATAGCTAATACGGTGAACGTAAGACCGCTGTAGTATAGCTTACAGCTAGTGCGGTGAATATAGCTATACTAGTTATGGAAGTGATTACCTAAAAGATGTGGCTTGTCTACACAGAGGCGAACATGTGGAGCTTATGTGCCCGCCCTGTACTCATAATCATGTGGTGCGGGGAGAACCTGACAATCTTTGTGTGGGTAACGTGTGGGTAACGGTGTGTGACTGGCTTTGTGAGAGGAGTAATCTCTCTCCTAAACCCATAAACACACAGTCACACACACTCACACTCACAACACCACCACCACCACCAACTATCACACTGTACCACTTGTACTAGCCTAACCGCACTCACCGCCCATTAGTCCTTATTTATTATTCATCTTCTGACATAATCAGTCGAACATTGCACAAACTCTGTCTGCAGAACCCTCTTGCGAAAGGTCACAGTCCTAATTAAAGCCGATAACTGCCTGGGTTTAAAAAGTTAAAGACTTGATTAATTATTAATTAGTGCTGTTAGGGCAGGATTGGGACAAAAAAGAAGCGAATAAAACCGATGAGATTGAGTTTTGAGAGTTATATTTGTGTCAAACATTACATAACGTGTACTTCTAAACCTTAAGGTCCATGGGGCAGGTGAAGTAGAGTTCACCTGTTTCAGTGACTTCGGCATATGAAGGGATATTGTGGTCAGCTACACGTACGGCCGCCTTTACTTTCCCTAACGTGAGTCAGGTATCCGTCAGAGCTGGGTGGACTCAGGAACGTCGTATACACTTAAGTACGGGATCAGAACTCGGCATTCGTGTTAGCAGATGATCGCTCTATCATTCGACCAGATCGTCTCACATAGTTTAAGTAATTCTTTAGACATTTGGTGTTATAAACTGATTGGTGGGCGAAACGCTCAATTCTTACAGACGTTATGGTCTTTAATGGCTAATGACATCCCTCAATTCGGTTATACCAATTTTGATATTTTATTGCAGTAGTTTTTTTTTTTTGTTTTTTTTTTTTGTTTTTTTTTTTTGCGGTGGGTGGTGGAAGGGGGGTGGAGTGCGTGTATGACTGACAATTGTATACACTCGCAGGAATGTGTATTCCATAGGCAGTTCCTATTGGCGTGGTGGTAAAATTGTCCGAGTCCCTTGCAAGGTTTCAGCTGACAATATGTTGACACACGAGCCAGGCTTACCTTACCTTGTTATACCTTCCCCGCTGTTTGTGAATGTTAACTCAGGAAACCATATAAAAAACTATTTGTTTGTTTGTTTTTTTTATTATTTCCTGGAACTGCTCTAGAACGCGAGGCAGGAAAACATGTTTGACAGCTGCTGATTTATTTTTTCAATCAACAACAACACCGCGACAAACAAACGCTGTGAACGGTTTTGTTTTATTTCGATCATTTCTTAAATTATTTCCCCTGACTGAAATCACCCATCTAGGCATACTGACACATCCACTTTACTTGTCAGAGTTATGGCCTTTAAGCGTTTGTTCGCTTGTGATGAAATCACAATTTTGAATACTATACTTTCTATCTCCATTAAGTTATACATTTAAAGAATTTTAAAGCACTGTTGTGCAACTTATTTCAATGAATAACATTTTTACATATTTGTTTTGGAGCTTTAGATTTAAGATTTACATCTGCTTCCGTGTTTTTAATAAAATCGTTCGAGTCTGTCAACTATACCACAATGTGTCGGAAGTTTGTAAAGAAATGTTTGAATAAGAGTTATTTAACGCCAAGATGCTAATCCAAAGAAAAAAAATTAACTGAAAGAAAACTTTAAAAAAAAATTAAAAGAATTTTTAAATTGATTTTTTTAGAATTCTAAAAAAAAAGAAACGGAATTTCGTTTGTTTTGCTTTAATCTTCTTTCCTCTGATTTCCCCCAAAAATAAACATTCAGCCTCAATAAGATTGTATGCAATAAAATATTTTTAAAAATAAAACGTAATCCCCTTGATTGTAAAATAATGTATTTTTCGACCGCCATGTTTTTGCTTGAAAACTCTGCTCTTGGTAAAAAAAAAAATGCTTAATCAAACACTGTTTTGTTTATTTCGCCTACGTTCCAAGAAAGATTGGATAAAAGAACTTATTTGCATGTAAAATAAGATCAATAAACATAAATAAATAAAAGCAGTTTGAACAAAGAAAATATCGTCACTATTAAAGTGGTTTTTCCTTTCTAATGTAGACATACGTCAAAACTTTAAAGTACTTCTAGAGCCAGAATATGCTGCTAAATGCTATTTGATTGTTAAGCCTATGGTTTCTACAATCCAATAGTGCGTATGTGAATTTTTTTCTTATTGGAAAGGAGAGGGGAAGTGTGGTTTAAATATGACGTTGTACGATTCAATATGAACGCATTCCTTCCTTGACTTCGCAAAATTTGATATCACAAATCCGTCTAAGCCACAATTTCCTCCTTATGCTGTCATAATTTTAACCTTTAGCCTTTAACCTGTCGCCTCCAGCCTCTACAATATATGCTTGTATATCTTTGGATAGGCGTGACGTGCTAGAAACTGTTTCAAAATGGCGCCCTAGTTAAGCATCTACCTGAGTTTATGATGTGCAAATATTTTATAACACGAAAGTCATCGACAGATGTCAAACATTTTGTTAAAATTTGGCATTGAGCGTGTATTATATACAGTGTTTCTTTCAGACGTTTTTTTTTTCTCCAGTGGGTCGGGAAGCACTTAAAACTTTCGGACGATGGCGTTCTTAAATTCCGGGGGGGGGGGGGGCGAACACTGGTTACAGTATTTATCTTCTAGATATTTTTTTTATTTCATCCGTGGGTGCGGTGGAAGTGCGAACATGCTCTTTGGGGGTGAGGGAAATCCCTATTCCCCACCCCGACATGACTGAAAGAAACTCCGATTATCTAACAGAGAAGCGCTGAAGTAGTATTGAGAAGTGTTATAGAACAACGAATCGAAATTTCTGTTGTTTTTTTC